TCCATAGTTACACCTGACAGAAGCTAACATAACACAAGCTACAGCTTTGTTTAAATTTCCAGCTGACTGACATGCCCACAATCATGAATGAAAAGCAAACAGTGGAAAATAACGCCTTCCCCCTTCTCATGGTCTGCGGGGGGGAAAATGCTGCGGCAGAGCCAGGCTCCGGGCTGCAGCCTGGTTTCCAGAAATCACACAGCTCTTCTAGAATGGAGCGTCTGCGGCCTTTCACACACCAGCTGCCAGAGGTTGTGGTTTTTAAGTAAAGCTTCAAAGTGGGCCCGGAGGCTATCAGCAGGAAGCCCGTTAAAACAGATAGAAAAATAAGAGGGTCAGGGGAATCTATTTTTTGCTGTACGTGCAAAATAAAAGGAGTCTTGGCATCTGCGCCTTTTAGCAACGGGCAGGGAAAAGCTTCCGTCAAGGTTGGGACCCTTAGAGGTCAAGACCTCCTCCGATAGGAATCTCCAGCTCCTAGCTCTGCTGAGCACCGGGTAACAGGGCAGTGCACCCAGGCAGACGTAAACTAGAGCGAACATATCTCGGCCGCTCGGTGTGCTAGGGGGTGTGCTAGGGACAAGTTTCCCAAAGCACCCAGAATTAGCATGCAGAGGCTAATTCAGGGGTCCGGGGTGGGCCAGACATTCTGAATTTTCAGCCAGCTCCCGGGGGAGGAGGCGAGGCGGGAGGGGGGCTGCTGCTGCCCGGCTGGCCGCGGCCCCACGTGGAAGGCCAGGTCCGTGGAGGACGGGCGAGCCACTGCGGTGCCGCATCACACGGCTGTCCCCAGCCAGCCGCCCGTGCGCCCCCGATCTCCCCGCCCCCAGGGGCTGGCGGCGGCGGTGGGTGCCCCGCGGCGCCCCCAGCGGCGAGCGGAGGGCTGCGGCCCGCTAACCTCGGCCTTCTCTTCCCCAGGGGAGGAGCGCCCCCGGGACTCCCCGGGCCCGGCGGAGGCCCAGGCGCCGGCCGGGGCGGAGGCCGGCGGGAGAGCGAGCCGCCGCTGCTGGACGTGCTCCCGGGCGCAGCTCAAGAAGATTTTCTGGGGCGTGGCGGTCGTGCTGTGCGTGTGCTCCTCCTGGGCGGGCTCCACGCAGCTGGCCAAGCTGACCTTCAGGAGGTTCGACGCGCCCTTCACCCTGACGTGGTTCGCCACCAACTGGAACTTTCTGTTCTTCCCGTTGTACTACGCGGGCCACGTCTGCAAGTCGGCGGAGAAGCAGTCTGTGAAGCAGAGATACAGGTAGGCGCCTCCGGAGGAGGAGGCCTCGCCACCGCGCGCTGACGCTGCCGGGCCGCCCCTGGTGGCCGGCGCGGGGACAGGCCGGGGGGAGGAGCGAGCGGCGACGTGCCGCAGGGCGTGCACCTGCTCCGGTGGGCTCGGGGCGACAATTCTCTCTCTCCCCTGACCGCCTCCTGCTCCTTGGCCCTGGAAGCTCCTTTGTATGAAACAGGAGCCCGCGGCATGTTCCAGCGGTGGGTGGGAGCAGAGCTCTGAGGCTCAGGCGGGAGTGCCCCACAGTCCCTGGAGCCAGGTGACTTGGGGGTTCCTTGTACCTTATGTCCCTTTCGGGGAAATGTGCACTGCAAAGACTTCCTTACTCCTTAACTTTCCAATCCAAGACATTTCCTCCTCCGGGTTTCTAATTGCACGGGTCTGAATAGCGTATCAGTGTGCTGGTCCAAACCAAAGCCAAGTCTGGACTTTGTTGACTCTCATATAAAGTCCACTGGAATGGCTTACAAAAAGAAGCCAGAAGCACCCCCAGCGCGTTCCCCCCCCCCCCCCGTCTCAGCCCTCCCCAGCGGTCACGTTGTTGGTGTTGACCTGTCATCTCGGCCAGTCAGCGCATCTCCTGTTCGCCCAAGGTGAAGATCCCCCGGCCCAGCATCAAGGGGTCACCCTAATTGTTGGCTAAGCTGACACTTATCTTTTGGAAAAGTGGAAACTTGTCTTTTTTCAGTCCCAGAGGTGAAGAAAAATTGAAAGTTGCAGAGTCTTCACTCCACTCACCACCTTCCTCCCCACTTCACCCCACCCTCCCAAGCACACGCTGGGATAAAATTGCCCTGGTGCCTCCACCATCTTCTTTGTGTTTCTTCCCTGGTCTGAAGTTGCCCTTAGAATTCACAAAATAACTAAAAACGCTGGGTCCATGGAGCAAAGAGGTTTGGGAATGGAAATTCTTGAACCAGTATTTCTCCCTGTGAATCCACCATTATGTCCCTATCAAATTATAGCTGGAATTCTAGAGAAAGGGCTCTGATGGAACCTGAATTGAGTCACGCAGCCAGTGTCACATGTCTTCTTAGCCAAAAGGGTGTAGAGCAAAGGATTCTGATCAGCAGTGTTGACTTAAACCAATTGTTCATGGACCAGCCAGAGATTGCTAAGGAGGCAGTTTATACGGCTCTTCTGAATAGCAGTCAGAACCAGATTGAAGCAAATAGACTCAGAAACCTCAGTAGGGCCCAAGATTGTTCCAAAGACAAGAGTAAAATAATAGCCTGCTTCTATCAAAGAGAATAGCAAATGTTCAGTAAATGATGTATTTAACAGTTAAATAGTCCTGAGTGTATTTAATTTGTAATTAGGGGTTTGTCTTTCTTTGAACTGATTAGAAGAGTACACTTCTTCTTTGAACTATTAGAAGAGTACTGGGCCCTTTCTGATAAAGAATGATTGGGAGGGCGGCTCCTGTGGCTCAAAGGAATAGGGTGCTGGCCCCATATGCTGGAGGTGGCAGGTTCAAACCCAGCCACAGCCAAAAACTGCAGGGAAAAAAAAAAAAAAAGAATGATTGGGAGGGAAGATAAAATGCTTCTTTCTTGCTACTTTCAACCACGTGGGCTGAATAAGGGCCCCCAAACCAATAGCACTGGCTGCTGCCCCAAATGCGCACCCTGGCCACAGCCTACCTGCAGAAGACAGGGCTGGCCTGACGCCACTTGAACTATTGTGCTGAGAACCACAAAGAAGGAACCAAGCCCAGTGGTGGTTACAAGGTCAATGTGGGAAAAAATGAAAGGTCAGGAAAGGAAATTAGTGATGCATAGGGAGACATCAACACCTGATTTCAGTCTATACTCTCCGTATAAAAAGTACCCAGAGAGAATCATGAAAGGATTCCAGTGACTGCTCTGTGAATTGGGAGCCATGTCAGGGGGCGGGAGGGGAATCCCCACTTGATTAGCAAAGCTGGTTAAGAGTTTGTCTAATTTCTATGATAGTGCTTTGCTCCACCTCTTTTAAAAAAAAAAAAAAAGAAACCAACTTTTTGTGTTTGTAAGCCATGTTAGCCCTGTGGCTAAGCAGAGTTGCTGATTTACCAAGCAATTATCGAGTGTGTCAGTCAAGCCGAGCACCCCAGTGGAGAAGTGAAGAGAGACTCTTTCTCAAAAAAAAAAAAAAAGAGAGAGAGAAAATTTTACCATCACAGACCTTCTTTAGGAAATCACGACTCTTTCACAGCTCAGATTGGGAGTACTTTAAACAGATTTTAGGATTCTCAGAAATCAAAGAAAACTGATATCACATTCCCCACCTTCATGCTTCTATCAAAATTAATGCCAGGGAGAAGATTTAGAGTCAGCCGAGGAGCTGTGTCTCTTGGCTAAAAGTGTTTAGCAGGGAGCTGAAGAGAGAAAAGGAGACAGGTGGAGATCTAGTCCATAGGGAGGGAAGCTGGACAAACAGACCCGCTTTCCTTACAATTATCAGAAGTTTCTTTTCTCTGAGCCCACCCCACCTAAGACACCTCTCCGAGGTGAAGCTACAGAGGAAAGCCAAGGAAGAGAGAGGAAGCCTTATATTGCCAGGCACGGAGCAGCTCCCACTGCAGAAGCCCCTCCCCGCCCCAGGTCTTGTTGAAGGCCACTCATGCGGCTGGTCTGGGTGGGTCTGAGATTCAGTTTTCCTAATGAGCTTCCAGGAGATGCTGGTGCTGCTGGCCACAGGCTGCACTTTAATTACAGAGGCCCTGGAGTTGCTGAGTCTCAGCTACAGGTTTTTAAAACTGCTGCCAATCTGACCCAATGTAGGAATCAGGCGTCACCCTCACCACACAAAACTGGGAGTGACTGGATTGGGGCCTGGAGAATGCTTGAGTCCTGATCAAAGCAAATCATTCAAGCTCTCAGAACCTCTGACACCTGTTTGTAAATGGAAGGTGATAACGTATGCACCACCGTGCATCAAAGAATGCTGTGTGAATCAATGAGATGCCACATATGAAAGTGCCCTACACACTGTGACATGCGTGCCACGTACATGCAAGGAACCAGCACTGTGTTGGGACATCCACTGGGGTTACACTGAAGGATGTAGCCTGCTCTTTGTGGCCTATTTAAAAGATGGGAGAGTTAACCCTTAGGGTGCCACACAGGTGTTTCCGTGGTAGCTACACAGGGCATCCTAGAGCACTGATCAGGGCCCTTCATGATCCCATGCTACTGTCAGGATTAGATGGCAACAGAAAAACCTCTCAGCCTGGATCTCCTGGGTTTTCAGCCTCTGCCTGTGGTGTCCCCAGTGAGCACTGGACCGTCCTGTGGTACAGTGGCCTCCTCCCTATGATTGGCATGCCCGCCCTTATCTGCCCCCGTCACACAGCTGACCAAAAGGATACCCTAAGGAGGCGGCAGTGCCCAGAGCTCACTTGGACAGGCTTCAGCCACAAGATGCTGATGGGCACTGCGGGAACCACTGTCTCCTGGGCTGCTGTCACCAGGGGCAGGCATGGGGAGGAGGGTATATCAGGTCTGTTGTCAGGAGAGACAGGGGAAGGCAGGTGCGCTGACACAGCCTCCTGGCCCATCTGACCATATGACAAGATGGCTGCTCAGACTAAGAGAGCAGCAGAAATCAGGCTGGAGCAGATCTGGGGCATTTGCAGCCTTGTCAGAAGGTCTTCCAGGAATTTGCAGCAGTAGTGACCTGTTTTCCACAGTGAACGCTGAGACCTTCTGCTATCCTGTGGCTGCCAGAAAAGAGAACCATACAGTGGCGACAGATGTTCCTCTGCTTTGTGAAGTTCCAGGCTTCTGTAAGCTAGCCAAGTGATTCTGCCTGGGATACTCTGAGCAAGGTTCAGAGCCAAGTAAGGGGAAAGGGCAGTCAGGATGCCTTTCATCTGAAATCCTGCAAAGGCCCCGTGTGTGTGTACCTCGCTGCCCAGACTTACTCAGGAACCAAGTCAGGTCTTGAGGCTATGAAGTTCATCCACCATTCAAAGCCTAAGGAGCAGAGTAGAGCAGTTGCAATCTGGATCTCTGTTCATTCTGCAAATAGTTATTGGGTGTCTGCTCTAGGAAAGGCACTAAGAATACAATAATAAATGGTCCCTGTCATCAAGGAGCCCAGAACCTGGTGAGGGTGTTAGATAGCTAAACAAGGTGGGGAAGGTGCAGGTGAACTGGGGCTGGTAGGGGCGGGGGGTGCATGTGTCCTGGGGCAGGGTGGAAAGATTTCTGAGAAGTCAACCAGCAATAGTTTAAGGACAAGCAGATAGCTCTTTAGGTTCTGAAGAACATTCTTCAGAGGAGTGAAGGACATTCTGGGCAGACAGTAGCCCAGGAAAAGCACAGCGGCTGGGCTCAGAGCATGGAGGCTAAGGCAGCTCTCCTCAGGGTACAGGAGGTCAGTGGGGTGAGGTGAGTGAGAAGACCCGATGGTTAGACAGGGTACACCCTGGCAAGCCTCCCTCATCACACTGAGGAGTTTCAGTTCTGGCGTGGATATTAGTGGGAGCCCTCAAAGCCATAATCAGATCAGATCTTTTAAAAGGCAGACTGGAGGTCAGGGGTGGATGGCACGGGTGTGGTTCCTGACCCTGTGGAGCTCACAGCCGCGTGGGAAAGAGAATAAAAACAGAATTTTAGGAAAGAATAAAATCTAAGGAGGAGGTGAGGCAAGAGCTGGCTGTCACTTAGGACTGGAAAGTCAGATGGAGGCCCAGATGGGAAGGGCTTTTGATGCAGGATTGAGGAGAGCCTGGGGCTCCATTCTCCAGGCATTTGGAGCCTCCGAAAGATTTGAAGTAAAGGATTGAGAGAATCGGATGTGCATTCCAAAGTAGGATTCATGGCATCAGTTATATAACTGGTCACAGCATATGTCCCATTTTACGTATGAGGCAGGATAATTATCAGGTGTGTGTTTGTTGGTTGGGAGCAGGGGGTGCCTGGTTCCTTGGCAGTGGCAAGAACTTTGAGTATAAATCAAACTTCCAGTCTGATAAAACC